CTCATAATGTCAGAAAAATCCTTGTCTAATTTCACAGTTATGAGCATCTTTAAAATGGGAAGACTTTTTATTCAAAACCTAAATTTTTCAAATCTTTTATCTGAATTTGTTGTACTAAAGCTCTTGAAATAGCCTGTGATCTTGTGCATTTGCCTCTAGAAGCCAAAAAAACATCCAACGAAAATGTTAATATTGTTCTGCTATTTGTGTGAGAATGGCCAGTGGAGACTTCCATAATTTGATAACAGTTTAAATAACCCAAAATGTATTAAATAGACACGCAGCAAGGTAGAAGATGAAATTGCTGAAAAATGTTTTGGCAAATGAATGGAATTGGAAATTTTCAGACTTCAAGAGTTAAGATGGTGGATTTACAGAGTAATATTGCCATATCAATTATATGTATAAGATTTATTATTTCCTTTTCTTTTCTTTATTTTTCGTTTTTCATGGATCAAAATGTAAACAGTTCTTAGTTGAAATATATTACCTGTAAGGATATTGATAAAGAAAAAAGGAAATCTAAGTTACCTGCTACAAATTTTAAAAATTAATACATAATGCGGATCAAATGTTTAAGGTAACAGGAATTATTGTTCATGCTGAAACAATGTAGGATTTTCCTCTCAAGTGATCAACTTATGTTTTTATGGCATTTGCTGCTTAGAAAATAAAGGCCCGTGAAAATTTAAACTCAGCATCAATGTGTACAAATAGTAGTAAAACAGGGGCGAAACAGAAAATCGGGGCACAGAAGCAAATTGTTAAGTCGGAGTACGTTGAAAGCTTAGGACGATGAAGCGGGGGGCGATTGCCACCACAAGTTAAATTATGTGTTGTGTTATTTTCTGGTATGGTTTTTCGTGATTGAGGTCCGGTATTATCGATCTTCAGTTAAATAAAGGCCAAAATATCTGACCTTCTTTGTGGAGAAGCGTCCAATCACTGGCGAAACAATGATTGGAAGAAAATACTCGGTCCACACCAGACAAAAATAGCCAGCATTACAACAGACAAAGTCATTTTTGTATCGGTAAGTTGGTTGTGTGACACAGACAAACAAGCTGGATTGCATATCTTTTGCTCTTCGACATCTTTTCAAGACGACAGAAGAATACAATGCTGCATCGTGTTCAAATTGCGGTTCATATCAGTGTAACAAAAGTGAACAATACACCAATTTCTGTCAGAACCACAAACCAAAAATTCTTGATATTTTCTTTATTTTCGGCACATGGTATCTAGATAACTTTTTTAATTACTGTAATACAAGCTAATTGCAATTTAAATCAGAGGGGAAACCTGAAAATTTTCCAAGTTAATACTAGCAACAAAAGAAAGTCTAATAGAACTTCAAAAGTAGCTTCAAAAATCGTTAAAAAACAAATAACCCCTCGAAATGATATTTTTTTCATTATAAGCACTAAACATTTGGTAGAGTGTTATGTTGTTCCTAAATTTTCTGATGATGGCAGGTATTTTGTTCTAAAACTTCAAAAATAGCAAAACGACAAAAAGGTACAGTAAAAACGATATAACAATAATAATAAACAAAAGTATACATGATTTGGGAGGGAAGATAAGGTTAGAAACAAACAAATCATGTAAATGCCAAAGGCACGAAAGTAAAAGATGTTAATAAAAACAGCAAACAACCTTCCATTTGACAGACGAAACAAACAGACTTCCATTTGATAAACTTTCTTTTCAGCTTTCGAAGTTACTGAGGGGCTTTAAGAAAACAGTCCTTAGTACATTTGTTCCACACAATAACTTATGAGGTTGGCATGTAAAGTATAAACACACGTACAAGCATGACATTCCACTGTGTCGATGAAATTCCAAGTCACAAAATGGAAGGCATGTCAAACAAGAATGCATCCATGGTGGCACTTGGGTCGCATGTTCACACAAAATCTTGTCCATGAATCAAAATCTTTTGATAGGAACCCTTATTATCTAACCAAGGTCTTCAAATGCGACCCTCATGCCTTCGCGGTCATTACAAACATTAAGGTTACCCTATTCGATAAAAAAATCGAAAAACCCCAGTTTGTTTACTTAATAATAAAATAAAGAATCAATCAAAGACTGTTCTCCTTTCAAGATCAAGTAAAGAGTCCCGCGACATCTCTTTCTTCTCTTTTTCGATTGAAGAAGACAAAGGAATCCTTCCTTTTGGCAATACACAATGCCTTCAAGGCACTGTTGTTTCTAGAACAGCTACACTTTTGGAGCAGAGATTGTCGGGCTGGACATGGAGCATCTTGCGTGTGAAAACAATAAATAATACTGGCTGGAAAACAGGCCAAATTTCTTGTGTTAGATGTGCATCCTTGACTTTTTAATTTAGTGACTAGAGGGGGATGCAAGGGTGCACAACCAACTCCCCAAATTAATTCAATTTATTTCTTTTTAAAATATTTCTTCGCGAAACGCTCAAAAACACAGTGTTGGCCCTCTCTACTTCTACCCATTGATAATTACGTAAAGAATTTCTTATGCGAAATAAAACTTTTGAACAAAAACTCATTTGAAGTGTGCTTGAGTGAAGCTTTGAAAACAATGTCAAGAAATCCGTTAAGCCCTGTAGCAGTCATCCTTACAAAACAAATTTGCAGATATAACTAGATGACACAAACACGTTATATCATATTTAATGTAAAATTAAGTTCATTTCTGGACATTGATCGAAATTTTTTACTCTGGGAGTGGCATTCGTCATGACTTTTCGACTTTTACGTGCTATCTTGAAACTCTGTAGAAGCCCTCCAAGTTTATTCTGATATTATCACAGAATGATAGAGCACAAGTCTTATACAATTATATAAAGGGCTGAGTTTGAGTTTAAACCAGACTTGCCATTAGCTAAATAGAAGCATGTGTGACCAGCAAGCGTGTCGCCCTATATAATTTCCTTTATCCTGAAATTTAACAATGACGCTTTTCCAGTTTGCATTTAAGTCAACTTTACGTCAAATTTGTTTAAGAAGAGATGAAATTCTAATAGGGAATAATTCTATGTGGTAATATTCCGAGCCCGTTCATGCCAAGGGCCTGCAAAGTGTCCAATTTCTTTCCAAGAAAAAAGCCTACTGGGCATCTCCAAATCAAAGTGGTACAGACTGGAAGAGGGAAACTTTATTTAGAAAATTATATTAGTTTAAGACAAGTTCAAGAATGTTTTGATAAACAGTGGTTTTTAGTTATTGAATGCAGAAACAGGCAAGTTTTGGATAATGGCTCTTTAATGAACTAAAATTTGTTCAACCGAATGAGTTGGTGTTGCACTTTCAGTCTTAAAACATGGTATCTTTCAAAGAAAGGCTGCTCTTGAAATATGCAGATGTCGGCTAGAAAAAAGCAACCTCTGCAACAGATACAGTATTGGTGTCCTACATGACCATAAAGAGGCAGCATTGAAAACGTCACACAGAACTATATTTACAACCAGCTATCTTTTACTTTAGATGGGCCAATCTTTGCTTGTTAGTGACCAGGTACGTTTACAGGTTTCCAGGTAGTGCTGATAACATTTGGCATTGTATTTGAAAAGTTTGCGTAAACATCGAAAGGAATAGCTTCAGAACTCATCCGATATTTTAAACAACATAGGGTACTGACTCGCTGGTCATACTATCTGATTTGACACGTGTTCCAGCGTTTTAAATTGTTGGTCATTCGATCTCACTGATAGTTGAAGTGGTAGGCATTGTAAAATTATGTTTGGTTACGATAATGAGAAAGGTAGACTAGGCCGCATAAAAACAATATGCATATGTATGAAAACTATGAGAATGTGATCAATCTGCATTTCGGTCCTTTTAACATGGCAAAGGAACCGTGTTAATAGGCTCGCGTTCCATGCAAGAATTCATAAGACAGAAACCTTTGAGAGATCAGTGCTCATACTCAACAAAAGTAAAAAATTAAAAGGAATTAGATCCAGTGTGGATTGCTCTTTTAAACACACCGGGGATGGCAAGCTAGTGATATTCTAATGGTGCTAAATAAAACTTTTTTAGAACAGATATCGATAAGGTTTGGGTTGTAAAAAGCAGTCAGCGAGACAAGGCCACCCCGAGAACAAAATTTCCATTATATGTACAATTTTACAGCTCTTATGGCTGTGATTATAAAAGACCGTTTGGGCTGTAATTTTATACATGGAAAGCTTCTGTCTAGGGGTTGAAGCAGAAACTGAAAAGAAACCTTATTCCAATGGGTGAGAACATGACCAGTCGAAAGAATAACAGAATGACTAGTATAAATTTATGTGCACAGCCCTTTGGAATAACAACTAGGCCCTAAAACACCCAGGGATTCAAACATGGCAACCATCTAAGAATTTCGTCACACTTCCACATTAAGAAAGGACGTCATATTTTAATGCAACTCAGGACATTATAATTTTTTATAACGTTCTGCTCAGACTGGACTCGTAATTCGGGGGACTTTAGCACACCCTTTAACCTGAACAAAATTTCCAGGTAAATTTTCTTCGATTGATTTGAACATTCAGAACTTTAATCTTGATTGCCTCATTCTTAACAAAGTTATGGGGCAGGGTCGGGTTACAATTGTCCAATCACCCGCCATCAGCAAGTTTGGCAGTTGTACGATTTCAATTGAAACAATAAGCCTTCCAGGCTTAAAGGTCAGACAAGAAACCAGGCTTAGTTAGAGCGGCGGATTCGTCCTTCTTTTTCCCTTACGACCGACATTTTTCTCACATGGCCATTCGTTCTTTGAGCTTTATATCATTTCTACCCTGGTTATTAGTTGAAAAGCAAAGTCTTGGGCAACACAGTGCTGTTGGGCGTTGAGCCAGGACCTAACCGGTTTTATCTAAAGCTTTTGAGCTGAACCTTCACAATTCAGTGGGAAACTGACAATTTAGAGAATTCTTGGGTCACTCACAATCAAAGAAATACTCGAATCAAATCAAAACACGGTACGCGAGTTTTAGCCTCGGAAAAGAACGGGGAAAATGCACCTACCTGGAACGTCTTGTGACGGGGTCCCGCATAATAACACTCTCTTTGATAGCGCCATATTGTTTGAAGTAATTCTCAAGACTATCTGGAATGGCAAAACAAACTAAATCAGACTACAAAGCAAATTTTACATTTATTATTAGTATTAATTGAATGTCTTGGCAGTCAAACAGCAATGCATGAAACCAGTTTTTCGTTTGACCCGCGAAATGAGTACAGATTCAGCCAAATTACCAACACAGCAATTGTAAGAATAAACACAAGCCCGTGTATTGACGGGAATTAAATTCCAAACAACAATTTCCACATATATACAATTAGATTTAAACGTTTGCATTTATGTTGACTTTAAGTTTAATCAAAACGTCACACGGCGATTGGTCTACCATTGTAAGCAGGCAGCGGACTAATTCTTTTTGGTTTTATTAATGCAACCAAAATCTGTCGTAAAGTTCGCGCAATTTTGCATAATAATTTCGGGGATAATCCAAAGTTGTGCAGCTAGTAATATTTAAGAAGCTGGACTAGGAATGCCGGGGAAAGATGAAAAATTTCGATACTAAACGAGTCTTGAATTGCGGTGACCTTAAGCATCCAGAAGCGGAACAAAATTAGACATGTATACATGCAGGGAATAGCAAATGTACCTGAATCCGTCTGGCTGTGCAATCCGCCGATGAACATTTTCCTATGATCAAGATAAAAGTCTATGATTAGATCCTCTACTCAGTATATTACCAATTAAGCCAAAAATGGCGATAATAACAGTAGAAGCGAGTCTAACACAGCGCGGGATGGAGGGTTTGCTCTTCAGACAAGAACCAGACAGGTAAACCTAACACAGCTAGGTTGCCGTTAGTGCCGTACGTTGCTCTTCAAAAAAAACATGTATATTTTACGATCTACCCCGATCGATGCTCAGGTTTTTCCTGATCCATGTCATCGCTGTCGGTTGAACACATTGGCTCCTCCTTCTCTATGTCCTTCATCTTAAAATCCTTTCTATGCAATGGGCCGGCCTAGCTTTCCTACTACTAAACTACAGTGCTCCCTACTCTACCAGAATACATTAACATGGTCTGGCAGATAACCGCGTATTGCCGACTCTCAACTGAGGACACGTGGATTTCTCGCTCTGATAATCACAATAGTAAATCAGCGCTGGGCACCCTGTGCTCCACGGGCAGCTTGAACAATGGGCCGATATCTATTGGCTTGTTGTGTAGAATTCTCTGAACTGGACAATACCTGGCCTAACCAGACAATATGGAGCCTTAGCAAACAAATGGTTACCCAGAAAATCGACATAAAAAAGAAGCTAACAAAGGGCTTAGAGCCAGAACACAAAACCACTCACCAAACAATAAAAAAAGAACAAAGGAATGAACTATTGTGAAAAGATAGGAACAATAACAAATTTGATGCGACAGTATCAGCTTTTAGGACCAATAAGCCGGGCAGGTTTGGTTATAATTTGAGCTTTTCTTAATTAACTCATCATCTTTACATTAAGACCCAGCATTTTTGGTGGAAAGATCAAACAAGGACAAACTATAAACAAAGTTAAAGACATAAATGAATAGATGGATAGAGCAGCTGCATGTTATCAGCAGGGCAGTGTTGTTATCAAAGACTGAGATAGTAGGCACCAGCTCGAGTCATGCACTATCGTTACTAACAGGTTACCTGAGTTCACAAACAGGCAAGTCCTAAGGCAAACAACACGGAAAAACAAACTTGAACATCTTCCACTATACAATGAACGTTTTTTTTTACTACTTCAAAAGAAACACTTACATCATACAATCAACAAGATTTCTGTAAAATTCAAAAGTAGTGGTTTCCGTTTGGCACCTCCCTCTGATAAGCAACTTTAATTAGGCTTGATCCGCAAATTTCCCCAATATAACCTTAGAATATATTGATCTGCTCTGCAGTAAGAATCTAATCCAAATGAGAGTATATAGAGAAAAACTCTATTCAGAGGGTGGGCTTTGAAGAATTTTGACATACCAATTGCCACTAGGTTTATGTGACATGGCAGAGGATTTTTTAACACCGGGAAATATAGTAGGTAATTAACTTTCGTTGACTTCTTGTTCACTTTATAAGGTCTATTGCATTGGTAGAAATTCATTTTTTAGGTGGGGGGGTCAAAGCCCACAAAAACAAACAAATTTGCCGAAAAATTAAATAACTTAACGAAAAACACGTGTTTTAACTGACAATTTGGCAAAATCTGGGAGACACTCCCCCACACCCCGCAATTTCCGCGACAGTTCGATTGCTTGGGCGAAATGTCCCATTCCATCCCACTGAAGTTACATATGAAGTGGTGGTCAACGTTGACGATGCCTGTAAATTCCCATCAAGAATTCTGGTGATCATGAATCTTATCAACAATATTCTGAAAAATTAGCGGGAAAAGAGGAGATGACTTGGCTACTTCGCAACCGCCAGCAATGGATGTTGGGATCCAGTCACCTTCCGGACCCAGCCCTCCATTTGTATTTGGGGGTCCGTTGTTAAATTATTAGTTGGCACATTACAAGAGTCCAATTGACTTATTTTTACAAGAAGCCAGTAAATACTAGGACTGGACCAAGCCTATCTATACTTATAGTTTTCCAGTATTATCGCGCCCATGGTATAACGTCAATGTGCATGAACATTGAACAATTGTTGAAGAGTTGGCAATGTTTGCTCATATATCGCGCAAACGAGTATGATAGAACCACCTTTTTCTAATTAGAAAAGGGCAAGTGGAAAGCGTGTGTTAAATCTAATTTCTATATTTTGATAAATTTTTTCTTTGCTCTGTCGAAAAGTGCATGCAAATGGAATAAAATTCAAAATTCTAAAGTTGTGATCGGCACGGTTTATCTAATTCGTAGAAAATTCATGGGACTTATGCCGTAGCCCTCTTTAACATGCTCATTTGGACTTACAATCCCAAGGTTTTTTCACTTTATAAACAATAGGCCATTTTCCTCCATTTTTGTAAACAAAGACTTGACCCCCGGCTAATTTTCCTTCAAAATGTCTTTGATTTAGGAAGGGTTGGGGGTGCCAGAAGGGGTGCGGGCAAGTACTCGTTCTTCTAAAAAAGAGAAGAGTTTATTGTCTGAACAAAGTATTTTATGAGGGCTGGACGGGCAATTGCTCTCCTTGTTGATGTATTATAACAGGACATCTTATGGCTGCTTAAAGTGAGAGAATGAAATACACTTAAATGTCTTCAAAAACTAAATTTCTTTCCAATGTCCCTCTTAAATTAATGACGTTCATAGCAGCCCCTTACCCCTCTAAAGCAACTAAATTATCTCTCCTCCCCCTTAACAAATTTTATTCAAGACAATCAGCCTTCTTATGATATAGTTTTTAAAGCTTCAGATAAAGTGAATGACTACAGTTATACACTGTGTCAAGAAATTTTATTCATTTTAAGTTGTTTGAGAAGTTTCATTCATATTGCCAACAAAAACGAAGAGTTTTCTTTACTACAATACCATTTTTGAAATATAAATTAACAATCACAGCTAAGGGACAATCCAAACTTTGCGCGGGATGGCACTTACCTATCTTTAGAGTATATGAGCACCACTTTCGGAAAAAGGGACCGAGAAGGCGGGGGAGGGCTTTTAAGGGACGAATACCTCGCCCCATAAAAATCTCCCGCTCGGTAAAGGGGCGAATACCTTTTTTATCAGAGAAAAGTATGCCCTTGGTACCAGGGTCTCCATTTGTAGTCTCAGAAATATAGTTAGAAACTAGTCACAGAAACTATTTAAACATGTGCCACCGCAGCTGTCTAGAATACTTATATCCAGCTTCATGAGGCTCTGGTACTCAGGGAGAGAAAAGTATTTTTTTATACTGACGTTCAAATTTGTTAGGAAAATTTTTTGCCCCGCTGTCGGATAATCAGGCGCCTTGTGCTTCATTACCTGGACAAAACATGGCGATTTTTGTAAACATTTCTGGTTAAAGTGCCCTTTTGTACATAACTTTGCCTGCACGACCAGAAAGTTTGTAAAATTCAGCCGAAGATCACAGTGACCTGTTTTGTCTTAACTACCATTGTAATTCAAACATTATGTTTCTAAGCACGCTGATTTAGTCCTCCACCCACAATTGTCTAAAACGATATTTAATTACGTATGATAAACAGTCGCAAAATTTCAAGGATATAGTTTAGCCTTCGAAGCACAAGGCAGCGGATCCAATTATAACAGTCTGTGACTCTAATAAGAATCCGCGAATCGAGTATATCCTAAGAATCTTTACCCATTTCCCTCCTCTTTAGGCCCCAGACAGTAAAAGCTGTTCCAAAGTACTACAATTTCGCCTTGAAAATTCTTTGCCAAGTCAAAACCGCAACAATTGTCTTAGACGTCGAACAGAAGGAATTTGTGGGATGAAACGCCAAAAAGAAAAATGATTGATATCAGTATTGCTTGTTAAGGTAATAACATTTCATAGTGTCCTGTTTATCCCTTTCGGCTTTTGAATTACATAATTTTGTAGCCTCGTAGCCCGGAAAAGGTACAGTATCTTGAGACTTCATCACATAAAGCTGCAAAAACATCACATATCGCCCAGGGGCCACAGTGACAGAGATACCGTCAATTGCTCCAGTAGGTCTGGCGTTCAACGATAAAATCGGGTCAATAACCCCTTGGTGCTAATAAAACTGCCTCTGGCCATGACGCTATTTGTTTATGAGTACTTCTGCTCTTTAAAAAGCCGTCTCCAACTCCTGCACTTTGCGTTATTTTCTTACAATTTCGTAGCTCTTTTGCCTTTATCTTTTTCCTAACATTTGTGTAAATTTAATTATTGCATTTATCCAAATTTACAAATTAATTTTGCAATTTGTTTTGACTGGCCTTGCTGTATAGCACAGTACCAGGACCGCATACCCCTTTTGTATTGTTTGTATAATGGATTTCCTGAGACTTTAATAACTTTGAAACTGGTAATATCTTAGAGAGTTTGTTATATTATGCATCGCAATACAATATTTGCTACAATATCTCAGGAGGGGACTGCCCGGCTGGTTAGCTGGCGATCGCCACTGCAAGCCGGAAGAATTTTTAAATGTTGGCCTTTCATAAAGTAGAGATTTTTGAATAAAAGATTACGAAAGATCTTACCTAAATTTTGTGACAGCCATTTGATCACCAGTGATAAGATAGACTAGGTTAGATGTATTTGTATTGTAGTATGGCATATCACGTTTAAAATCAAATCAAATCAATTCAAATCAAGTCAAGTAAGTCAAATCAAGTCAGATAATTAAAACAGTAATTTATCCAGAGTAACCACGATAAAAACTTTATATATTTTAATAAAGCTTAATGAAGAATCAAAACTAATATCGTTCACTTAAGACCATATATCTCATATTGTATGATTTTATCCGACCATTTTTACTTTGTTAATACATTTACTGTTTTTTGTTAAAATTCATTCAATAGTTGTTTGAAAGTACACGTTTAACCATCACTAGACGTTTAGTTGAAAATGAAAATTTAAAATAAGAAAATTTCAAAACCATCACGTTTTATTTCTTCCAAAAGATGCTTGAAATTCGCAAAACCCAATTCAAAAAACGTGCGCTTAGATTACTGGGTCAAGCTTGGGCGTGACGTAGAGACAGGGGCATGTTTGAACGACATGCAGTAGTTAGAGGTGTTACTTTACAAAAGTATGAGGGAAGTGAAAACAATCGGATACCAAAAAAAGATAAGAAGCCCAGCTGAAAATGTCCCCAAACGCTATTTTAGACATGGTTTTCCCAAGCCAAAAACCGATTATTGTATTACGATTGATGCTCATTGTGTCACAAGCATGAAACTTATTAGGGCTGGATATTTTGACAAACTTAAGAATGTGGGATAATGACCTTTTTGAGAATTTGTGCCAAGTGCTTTTTTTAGACTGGGAAACTAGGTCCCGGGCCCAAAAAGCGGTTATTCTTTTAATGTTGTAGATACTTCTATTCTCATCAAACAGATAAACGATAGATTTCTTCAACTGTAAAATTTGCTTCAACCGATGCCAGTTTTTGGAAAACCAAAATCTTCAATGATAAGTCACCTACGAACGGACTGAGTTA